AAAATCTATTGACCCGACCTGAATTTTCAGGTCAGTTCAGGTCAGGTAAACAGGTCGACCTGACCTGATTCAGAGCTTTAGCTAGGAAAAATTTTACTTTTCTTGGGAGCATAGAATCTGTTGTTACAATATTCATGAGCTACCATTTTCACTTAGTGACACTCTCGTATGTGCAACTCTTCTCCTTTTGGTGAAGCTTATTGGTAATGCTCTTTCTTTAGGAGTGTGAATTTGGTTGTTTACAATACTCATGAGTTACCGTTTCCATTTGGTGATGCCCTTATATGTGCAACCATTTTTCTCTTGGTAAAGCCAGTTGGTGACGCCAATCATCCCTCTACAATTCTAACTTCCCATACTTTAACACTTATCTCAGAACATTGGAAGTATGGTAAAATTAACTTTATTCTTTTTCGATAATTATATTAGACGACAATAGAATAGAATATATTGATGTTTAAATATGGTAACTCTCCTCAAGATGTTTTCAAGATAGCCAGTCATTATACTGATGATATAAAAAATGCATCTATGGTCATTAATAGCTACCTTCGAAAGGTAAATTTATTTTATTGTATTTGATCTCACCAGGCCAGAAGATGATTTTCTTGCAATTCGGCTAAGATTTGACATTCCATTGAACTTGTAGAAGGAAATAAAGGTGAGGCAGAAGTGCAGAGAAAAAGATCTCCAAGTAGATTGTATTAAAAATTCTCGATAATGCAGTTAATAGCATACACCACATACTACACTGTATATAGCATTTACTAGTTATAAGATAAACCTGATGTAGGCAACTTTATTTGTATTAAAAAGTATGTATAATAAAATTTATTATTTTTGATAGAAGAGGTGTGACTATGATGGTCACAGTAGCGGGTCCTAAAGAGATCACATAGTATATTTTAATTGTTTATGGCCTTAAAATTGTGAAGAGTTATTATGTCATGGTATATTAAAGCATGGTTTAAGTACTGTATGGCTTGATGATCTCATGGAAGAATGGGAAAAATCTTTACACAATTCACACAAATTTTTAACTAGACACAATTATATAAATGTAATAATATATAAATCATTTTTTCATGATCTATGAGTTTGCTTCAATGTCATATGCATATATAAAATTAAATACAGTCGTTTCCCTTTATCGTCACATCTTTCAGAACTAAAAATAAAAAGTGTGATTATAATAAAAAGTTACCATATAGGGGATTTTATATGTTGTTACTAAATATTGGTTCTGCAAAGTTGTAACTATAATAACACTACGATTATAAAGGGGTTTTTTATATAGTATTAATAGGCAGTGTTGGCAAATTTTAAGATCATTTCCCTTTTTTGAAATGATCTAGATCACTTTGTATATGATCACGTAATAGATTTCATAGTAAAATCATCACATGATTAGGTCATTTTAAGGTCACTTCAAGGTCATTTGCTAACACTATTAATAGGTACTGGTTCTTATGAAATGTGTGCTTATAATGAGTAGGGATGTTAATGGTTAAAGATAAATCAGTTTTAAATTAGTTGTATAACTGAACTGATTCAGTTTAGTTTCAAGATTAAGAATCACGATAAATATTGATTTTTATCACGTGATTCAATATGGTTAGACCATTAGTTCAACCGACGGTTTAACTGAATTTTCAGCTGCAGTTTC